CCAATAAGCAGTGCAACATGGAAAGTGGGATCAGATCATCGATGGGATTTTGTTACTGGATTACGCTCAGACGCAGCGGAAGCATGTATGCAGTTATGGGGGGTTTTTTTTTGGGGGGGGGGAAAAAAAAAAAAAAAAAAAAAAAAAAAATTTTTGTGGACAAATTAACGAAGTCCGCACACTTTCTACCAGTCGATGGACTTAATTCTCTGGACAATTAGCAAGACCATTTATTTAGCAGAAAATGTTCGACTACATGGAGTTCCATCATGCCATATTATCTGATCGTGATCCAAGGTTTAGCATCGAAGTTTTTGGGGTAAACGCAGGAAGCATTAGGACGAAATTGCATTCAAGCACTGCATTTCATCCTCAAACAGATGGTCAGCAATCAGAAGAAGTAATCATTCTAGAAGACATGAGTGAGATCATTGTCATAAGAATTGAAGGCCAGTTGGGAAGATAGTACCTCTCATGATTTGCCTACAACAACAGCTACAAATCAAGCATTAAAGATGGCACTATGAAGCATTTGTATGGTAGAAACCATGTAGGACACCTGTGGTGTTTGGAACAGAAACTGAGTGAGAAAGAAGATTTGGGTCCAAGATTTGGTTAGAGAAACAGAAGAGAAAAGTGAATCATGAAAAACGGCTGAAAAGAAGCAAGTGATCGACAAGAAGTCTTATTGCTGATTTTAAAGAGAAAGGTATTGAGTACTCGGTCGGTGATCAAGTATTTCTGAAAAGTTTCCACACCATGGAAAAAGATCCTAAAAGGTTTGGGACGAAAGGGTAAGCTTAGCCCTAGGTTCATTGGTCAATACGGAATGTGTTGAACGCGTAGGACCATAGCCCTATCGCCTAGCGTACCTTCAACCTAGATCGAATTCATAATGTCTTTCACTATCAAATGTTAAGAAGTAATCCGATCAAGACCCCATTCGCATTGTGTTTATCAGCAGAAAGAGATTGAAATTCAGCCGGAGTCTCACCTATGAAAGAAGACCCAGTCAGAATCTTAGCCCAAAGAAACTAAGATTGCGGAACAAGAAAAATAGCAATTGTAAAAGAGTTCGTTTGGAGGAATCATAAGACAGAAGAAGCAACTTGGGAATCTGAAAGAACACCACGCGATCAACAAGTATCCGCATTTTGTTCACAACAGTAAACTTCGGGACAATTTTTATTGGAGGGGAGAATTGTGACACACTGAACATCCAGCCAGAGTCGGAAGTCTTAGCATATGATCGAGTTGAGTCGTAGTTGAAAACCAAACCCGGCGGTTGGGGTAGAATGGGTTTATAAGTGGAGTTACTTGATTGAGAGAAAAAGATCAAAGCATATGGGTGAGGATTGATTTGCATTAAAAGATCGAGCTTGGGTATTAAGTGATAGCCTTTTTCCAATTGAGGTACCATTTAGTAAGTTTTACATAAAATCCTTGATATTGTGATGGCCTACCCGTGATTATCACTTCACTTTCCCATTTTAATGTTTATCTTCATCTTCTTCCTTTCTTCCTTTCTCCATCCATTTTCATAGTAGTTTAAGACAACCTCAATTTTCTCCAAGTAAGTAAAATTAAGTACAAATTTTCTTGAAGCTTTTATATTATTTCAACCTCTAGCTATATTGTAGATAAGTTATGAGAATTCTGATGTGTATAGGAGAAGGGAGTTCAAAGATTGTAGAAAAGAGAAGCTAAAGAAGAACTCAAGCTTTTTGGAGTTAAGGTTTGATATCTCTTGTTATTTTCCATTTTTCTTTGTATGAGAATTATGTGTTATGTTGCTAGTGAGACAATATATTGCTTCATGTTGAGTGGGAGGACTGGTACTGGTGAGAAACAAGGGAAAACAGGGGAGGTATTGAACAAATGAAGTAAACAAATTGGTTTATGTTGAAACAGGGCTTGCTGGAAATTTTACCAGTAACTTCATCTTGATTTTGACCCCATTTAATGATCGAATTAGGAAGTGTCATAGAAGAGTTATTTATTTGTTCCTCTACGTGTTAGCTTTACATGGGTTTTTGAATCATTCAAATCGGAGTTGTATATTGAGAGATATGATCAAAAGAGTACAGACAGTGCAGGCTGGAAAACGCCACGCGCGCGCGCGCGAATTGCATGAAGAGCTCGCGACTTGTGCCTGAAGCTCACTGACTCTCATTTTGCACTGTACGCGCTCGCGACTTTCACCTGAAACTCTGACATTTCACGCTGAAAACTCTCTGACCTTATTTGGCACATCTCGCGCCAGCGGACTTTCAAAGTGGCGGGCTCGCGACTTGTGTTTTCAATGCACTTTTGGACTTCATTTTCATGCAAATTGGTATTCTTGCTTCCATAATGCCTCCAATCATTTACCACCAAAAATACAACATTAAAGTCATGTAATCGAACACACACATCATGCAAGCATACAAATGAATGTGAAATCAAATAAACATATTATGAATTTATGAACTATGAATATGATTGTTGTGTTGTTGTGTTATATTATTTATCAATATCAACATTCTGCTCCATTGAGGTTAGGTTAGAAACCAGTAGATAATGGCTATGTCGCGACATAGGATAAGCAGATCTGCACCCCATAGCAGTTTGATACTTTCCGGCTACAGGCGCCGTTGAGTGATAATGATTATTATATGGGCCATAGCAGCCAGCATACAAGTATTCATCCCAGTTCATACAGTTTTTCTTATCACTTCGGTTGGTTTCACTATAACCTTATGGAGCCTTACAGATATCTTGACATAACATTTCATGAATCATACAGTATTATAAACAGTACAAAAGATAATCAAGGTACAAGAAAAGGATCATGCTATATGTGCTTATATGTTTAATTATTCATATGCATTTACATGCTTATTTATATCCATGTATGTGCTTGATTGTTTCTTATATGTTGAGATATCCACTGAGCTTTATTTGCTCAGCGAGTTACCTATTTAACTCGCAAGTTTTGAGTTTGGTCCGTAGAGAGTCGACTTACAACTGCTGCAGTTCATCTGTAGAAGACTCAGTCTTCAGGGTAGCTACTCATTTGGATGTGTATTTTTGTCTACCCTTTTTGAGGTGTATTTTTGTTTCTTCCTTCCATGGCATGTACAGGGCACACAGTTGGGCCCATTCCATTTTGTACAACTAGTATCATGTTATGTATATATCCATTACATTATTAATGTAAACAATTTCTGTATAATAAAATAGTCAGTAACCATTATGACATCAGCATGTCAGAACATACATTCAACCAGTTTTGTAACGTCTCGACTCGGTTCATTCGGGTTAACGGGACCGGGAAGGAATGTTACAACATCACATATATCGTGAAGGCAATCACGGTACATCAACTTTTGGCCACTCATCAAAGAACTACATCAATTTTCTCTCTCTTTACCTCTTTTAATCTTTGCCCCTCCCCCAAAATAAACAACATCAGTATGATATTATATTCAATATACATTATGATTTCAGCATGTCAGGCCATACAGTCAACCAGTTTGTAACGTCTCGGTTTGGTTCATTTGGGTTTACGGATGGACCGGGAAGGAATGTTACACATCACATATATCGTGAAGGCAATCAAGCGGTACAACTTTTGGCCACTCATCAAAGACTACATCATTTTCCTCTCTCTTTTACCTCTTTTAATTCTTTGCCTCATTTGATTAAAAATATTATATTATTGGAGGCCATGAGAACTTCATATTTGAGATATAAATAAAAGGATCACTTTCAATAAATAAAAAATAATTAATAGCATAGTTATTATACCCATTCGGTGCAGCTGGTCAACTCTAGAGAATTGAAGAATCGGTCTCAAAATTAAACCAATTTTGCTTTTAAATAATTTAAGAAAGAAAATCGAATTGAACCAGTTAACTGTAGTTAAATCGATTAACCCGTATATACCAATTGATTGATACTCTGATTCTTTAATATTTTAAGTTATTATTTATTATCTTAATTATAATTATTTAATTAATATATTATTAATATTTTCATGACTCAATTAATTAAATCTTTAATCCATCAATCAAATCAATTATAATCGGATGAATGTCCAGGCTGGGTTTAACGACATTGGTTAGTAGTATGTAATATCCTCACCATTTCAATGACTTTCCACGTGATGCTCTTCTTATTACAGTAGTAGATTCGTTCTTGAACACACGTATGTACCTATGGATACCTTGGAATATAAAAAATAAGCATACTTTTTAGATCTCAGTCACTGACTAATTATTCTGTTAATAAAACATGTTGTCTGGATACATTTACATAAAAGGATAAATATTTCAATTTTAACATATGACTCCAACTAACAGATGTTGGGAGGACGTGGCCGTTGTTATGCTAATGTCTTGATAGCTAAGGGAATGAATACTTCTGTTATGTTCTGCAAATTATTTTAGATAATGCCAAAATACGTAGTTGCATGCTTGTACAAAAATAAAATATGTACATAGAACACATGTAGAGTGAATTAAATGGTAAAACGTAATGATTTCCCGTAAAGTTAGAAATTCAATTTATGGAAAGAAAATATCATAAATCCCACAACCAGATTAGTTTCGTATAATCACATATATAAAAAAATATTTTATATTGTATAACAAAAATTTTGCTTGAAAAAATTTAAGAGTATTCATAAATATTTACATCTAAATAGATATAGGTATTTCATTTTTGAAAATAAAAGTCTCGAGCTCATATAAGAGAAAAGAGTATACAATTATTCATCCCAACACTCAACGTTTATTAAATTAATTAAAAATTATAAAACAACCGTAGTGTATTATAATGAGGTGATTCCCATATATATATTCCACGGTGGTAAACAAGACAACCAAGAAAATTGAAACCCTGGTTTTGGCTTGATTTTCTTATATAAATTAGTCAAGTTGTCACCAGTAATGATATCCCACTTGCTTAATAAACAAAGAAAATATCTCTTTGAATTCAACATTAACACCTTCTATAAAAACATCGGTTTCACAAACTACTCTGTACTGTAGTAGAGAAAAAGAAAGAAAGCATAGTCCAAAAATGGGCAGAAGTCCTAATTTTCCAAAGGAAGGACTTAGCAGAGGAAGTTGGTCTACCGAAGAGGACCATCTTCTTAGGGAATACGTTAGAATTCATGGTGAAGGCAAATGGGGCAAAGTTGCCAAGGAAACAGGCAAGTTTTTTTTCCTTTTAACTTGTTTTTCTTTTTCCCTTCTGAGGTCTATAATTACTGATTAGTTCCATGATTAATACAGGTCTTAAGAGATGTGGCAAAAGTTGCAGGCTTCGCTGGTTAAATTATCTTAGACCAGATATTAAAAGAGGCAATATTACAGAAGATGAAGAAGATTTAATTTTCAGACTCCATAAGCTTTTAGGCAACAGGTTTGTTTTCAGTTTCCATTTCTAAATCTAATTCTCTTTCAAAGAAACATTGTAATGATTATTTTTCTGTATATGTAGATGGTCTTTAATAGCAGGAAGGCTTCCAGGCCGAACAGACAATGAGATAAAGAACTATTGGAATTCAACCTTGAAGAAAAAGATTGATAAAAAGCAGCACAAAAAGAAAATAGTAAATGCTGATATTGCAGTAAAAACCACTATCTCCAGTCATGAATCCCCACAGGTTAAGAATGTGATAGAAGAATCTGATCCATCAGATGACGGACTTTTGCCAAGTACTTGTGATTGGGAGATGATGACTGTGGATATTAACGGGGAACAGATTAACTTATCTGATTTCCTCCAAACAGAAGATTTCTCCAATATTATTTTACCTGCAACTCATGAGGGCGAAGCTGATTTCTTCTCCGAAGCTATCCTGAAGGATTGGACTGGCAAGGAATTATTTCCTCTGGATCCTTAATTAGCAATTATTTGTAGATTAATCTTCTTGATCCTTTCCCCCGTTTAACTGTAGTTTATAAGATTAATAAAATTTCTTGTGTACCATAGTCAAACTGGTTTGCGTTAGTTTTAAACGCAAGGGAAACTTTTCCGTCCAGACTCGTACACGACAAAGAATAAAAGGAAAACTTCTCATCTTCTTTTGTTTTTATTCACATGGACGCCAAACGGGCCCAAAGAACATACTCCTTGTCGTTTTCTTTCTTTTTAAAAAAAATTGTTCACTGGGCCAGAATTGCATACAGTATAGACTATACTCTGTGAGGCTGATCCAAGAGTACCAGAAATTACAGGCCCAAACTGATACGCTAACCTACAGTGATTTTTGTTTTTAACTGCATTTTCCTCTAGCCATTCAAAATGCACATTGAACAATGTGAGAATCACGTGAAAGATAAAAATTGACAAAATTGTAGGTACCTTACAATTGAAAAGTAGGTGCCAAGACTTGGGAGGGCCTGTGTCGTTGTCATAACCTAGTATATAGCCAAATAAGGGCACATGTCTTGTTTCCTATGATATTGAAATCTTTTGTGTGATGACATCCTAAAAATGATCATACCATTATGTTTCTTTATTGCAAATATATTAGACATTCTCTAAAACATTTCTCTTCTAATCAAAATTCAAAGTCACAAAGTCATTCATTTCAAAAAAAAAAATTAAAAAAATAAATAAATAAATGACACAAAAGTCATTTTCTACCTAAAAGATTTTTTTTCTAATTAATTAACGAAAGATCAAAGGTAATCAACACTTAAAATATCATGAGCCAACTAAGATAAAGATTTTTAAATATTAGTGAAAATGATGAAACCCCAATTTTAATTATCATTAATAAATTAATTGTTTATAACCCAAATATATATCTTGTTTATGTGTCGTCGGGACTCGGAATTATGTTGAAAATTGATTGCTGGAGTTAAAAAAAACAACTAATGAAATACCAAAATTCATAACAATATTGTATAACAAACAGTTGGCCAACATCAATCGAAATGGAAAATTAATGAATGGTGAGAAAAACGCCAAGAACCAAAATTCAAAAGACATGAAAAATAGTTCTCGAATCAACATAGTACAGTCCTTTATTAGTTTTCTCCTCTGAAAATGTCTATAAATTATCAACTGGAAATGTCTATAAATTATAACACGTGAGGATCCAAAAGTATATATTGAATTATAAAATAGAAACCCTATGTACCACTAACATTACATTATTAGTAATATTTTATAATATACGTATATTTGATCACATGCTGCCCTTCTTACTATAGTAGTAGATTCTTTCTTTTTTTTTTTTTATAATTGTAGTAGATTCTTTCTTGAAAACAGGTTAGTATACCTAATTACGTATGGATTGGGTGGAATATGGAATATATATAAAATAAGCACAAGTTTTGAGATCTCGCTGAACTTCTACCTAATTAATATTCAAAACAAGGTTGCCTGGATATACTGTATATCTAAATATTATAGAACTGACGATCCAACTAACAAATCTTGGGAGGAAGTGTCCGTCTTTATACCAATATATATATACTGGTATAATAGAGAGAAAATTAAAAATTAGCTAGAATAGAACTACACTAGTTAAATCATGATCAAGCGAGTTAAATAGACAAGAAGGCGGCGAATTATATATATTTTAATATTTTGGATTTTTTCTAAAAAAAAAAATATTATAAACGGCTTTTTAAAAAAAAAAAAAACAAAAAAAACATTTTGGACTGGGCCAGGATTATGTATAGACTATAAGAATCTTAATTGAAACGTCGTGACTGAAGCCCAGCAAAGTTGTAAATTGAAAGGCTTCTTCAGTCCTTTATGGACAAAAGTACCAAGCGCATATACTGCTTTCCCTTCTGTGAGGCTGGTCCAAGAATACCTGAAATTACAGGCCCAAACTGATATGCTAACCCACAGTGAAAATTTAGAATTAATTTATAGTTTATCATTCAGAACGAAATATTTATGATTACTCAATACATTTTTCTTAAAAGTTATAACTTTAATCTACGCTTTTCAGTTTAAATTATAAAGGAAATACTAAGAATATTGCCAAAAATAAATAAATAGAAAAAACAAAAAAGAAAGAGTAGTATTAATATTCTATACTCTCTATGCGTTTTGCCTGAATGCATGTAACCTTGAGAAGCAATTGCCTCTCTACCACCATCTTTTTCCAAATAGAATGTCTTCTTAAATCAAAAGAATAAACTCTTATTTTCTTTAACCTAACTGAATAATTTTGTCTGACTTCACTCTGCGGTATACATGGAGAATAGGTAACTCCTCTTTTCTGATATAGAAATGTTATTAACCTTTAATTAGCAACTAAAAGTCTCAACAGTCCATGGAGCCCATTTAATCTGTAATTCAAGGCCAGGTTAATAGCCCTAGGAATAAAATGCTTCTTCAAGTAGCTATATTTACTATTAATTTTTCTTAATTTTCCCTCTTGTTTTGCTTGAATTTGACCAAGAATTCCCAACATTATAGTTTTTCACCTTTAAAAGATTCATCCTTTTTGCTTCAAACTCAAATAACCATACATACTAGTAATTAATCCTTTCGACCAAAACCTAATAATAAATTCAAAATCAAACGAATTCAAAAGAAATTGAATAATACCGTTTAGCCTCTAAAAACTCATCTAAAAAAAAAAAAAGAATTAATCAGTTCTTCTAAACATATCTAATTCACCATTCCAATTTCATTATCATTACCATCACTTCCTTCCTCTTCATTGTCATCCTCAACTTCTTCTTCTTTCTCCATTTCATGGCTTCCATCAAATTCCAACCTTGAAGGATTTGCCGCACTCCCCGTTATAAACGCTTCTAAAAGCTCCGAATAACCTTCCTTGTCAATCCCAATCTCACTGTTACTAATCAAAGGAGAAGAATTTACGACTGCTTTTGAATAAAGCTGATCCAATTGATTAAAATAAGAACAAGTTTTGGATTGTTGAGCCCTTTTCTTCCTGCTTTCTTTAGCTTTTCTGAAATACTTGTTAATATTCTCCCATTTCTCTTTACATCTTTTTGCACTTCTTTGATAACCCATTGTGCCCATTAAGTAACTTACTTCTTCCCAAAGAGGACCTTTTAAGCCGGGTTCTTGAAACTTACTTTCTATGCCACTCCTAACTTGGATCAAAGCTTCAACTTCATTTTTAGGCCATCTATTTTGAGCATCACTACCTTTTATCAATTCTTCGTTGGGTTCTTTTGGAACTTCCTGCTGGAGCAATAGATGGGTTTTTCTAATAGGAAGATCGATCCTTTGGCCTGTAATTTTTTCTACAAATGAAACAATTTGAGCTTCTCTATTTGAAGCTAAAGCTTGATCATGTGCTCTAGAAATGGCTTCTCTATTATACTTTTCGGCTTCTTTTCGCCTCCAAACTTCTTCTCTCTCTGTCCTTTCCTTATCCATTCTTTCAATTACTTCCAAGAACTTCTTATGCAGCATTTCTTGATGATCCATAACCTGTTTGACTAGATTCTCAAAGAAACCAGCCATGGAAGTCAATTTCTCCTTCATTTTCCTTTTTCTCAATCTTTTTTGGGTTTTTCTTAATGAAGATTCTTCCCCAGTGGAGTTATCTGATCCATGATTAGAAGTAGCACTTGCATTAGCAATATTTTGGGCATGAATTGCAGTAAACGGCAATGAAAGAGCAGCAATATTTTTTGTTGGTGAGTTTTCTCCAGTAAGAGCAGAGCCAGAACCTGTTTGATTAGTTTCAGCAACCTTTGCAAGACTGTATATAGCTTCAAGTTCACCAAATAGCCTATATTTGTTCTCCAAATCTTTCCACCTTTCATCGACTTCCCTTGTGCCCAAGGGCTTACGGTACTTATTTTTGTTTCTTTCATCAGCTTCTTGCTCTCCATTTTCACAATTACTTCTACTCAGCTGTTTCCTGCCACATTTACAGTAATCCACCCTTAAACAAAAGCAATAAAAAAATAACGAATGAAGTTATATATAGTTGTTTTCAGAGTTGTGACAGTTGAAACTAAATTAATCAAAAATAAATAAGTAAACAAATAAATAAATTAATAGACAATTCCTTTTTTAAAGGGGAGGGCGGTTAGCATTAAATTACCAAAAGGGTTCCTTGATGGAGGTAGAATCTTCCTGGGGATGCCAAGAATGAGTCACGCCATTAAGAAAATCTGTAGTAGCTTTTTTGTCGTTGTCAAGATCCGACTTGAATTTAGCAGGAAAAAAAGGTGGATGTGTTGATTGGGGATGCTGATATATCTGTTGTTGAAATGGTCTAAAATGTTGGTATTGAGGTTGATTTTGGAATAATTGATGGGTAATGGTTGGTTGCTGCTGCTGCAAGAATATCTGTTGTTCTGGTTGTTGTTTTTGTTGAAAAGAATGGTTTAGATTTTGAGATGGGTTCGAAATGGGGAAAACAGATGAGCAACAATCGTCATTTTTAATGAATTGGTGATGGAGTCGCTGGTTTTGTTGGTGACGGTGGATGTCTGGTACGCCATAACTAGGCTGCATTTCTTGATATGAAGAAGAAGGAGGAGAAGGAGAAAACCCTAAAAAAAAACAGAAAGAAAAAGATAGAGATAGATTTTTTGGTGGCGAAGTTGATTTAGATTAGAGCGAAAATGTAGTGAAGAGTAAAAGATGGGAAGAATTAATCATCTCTCGTGGTCTATACGTCATCTTTGCTTGTTAGGGTTTTAGTGATTGGCTAACTCCCTAAACAGATATATAATATGCTTCTTATTATTTTGAAACGACCCGAAAATTTAATTTCATAGAATTTTCATTTAAAAACTAAATTTTTATTTGAACCAATGAAATTTTACCGGCTAGTATTTTATTATTGCTAAACTTTGAAACGGACCGAAAAATTTAATTTCATAGAATTTTCATTTAAAACTAAATTTTTATTTGAACCAATGAAATTTTACCGGGCTATATTTTATTATTGCTTAAACTGGACCCGGTTAAACCAATTTCCGATTTTTTCGAAACCAAGTCAAATTGAGCAAATCATAGAATTTAGACCAAACCGGTTCGATATCGTGACGGAATGGTCTAGAAGCTTAGAATTCTCGCTTCTTTTTCTTTTTTTTCTTTTTTTGTCTTTTTCTTTCTTCTTCTTCAGCAGGTTTCGACGCCACTCTCCCTTCCCCTTTCTTTCGTTCCCAGCCAACGCCACGTCCCACCCCGGCTGCCGCGCTCTCTCCCCTCTTCCTCTGCTATTTCGCAGCCTAGCGTAGCTATCGCAGAGAGCTGCGATTTCGCTCGACGAGAATCCGCTGGTTCTCCAGCTCCTCGATTTTTTCCGCGACACCTGTACGAGCGGTCGACTCCACTTCTCTCTCTCGACAATGATTGGCTCGGTCTCTCTCTCTCTTCCTCTCTTCTGGTGAGCGCATGCAAAGGTGAGCCTGGGCGATTTCTCTTTGATCGGCAGTCCTTCACGCTCACCTCTGCCTTTTTGGTTTTTCGGACGGAACCATCCCAGAAGCTGGCAGAACCACCTCTCATTCCGTCTCCAGCCACCTCACGTCCACCGTTCCATCTTTTTTCCAAGAGCAGGCTAGGAATCGAAGCAACAGTTTTGGAACAAAGAGCCGCTGCCGATCGTTCTACCGAAATTTATGAATTCTGTGTGTTTTTGCCACCGACAAGGTGAGGGGAATTTCTAAGCCTTTTCTCTTGTGATACTTAAACTAATTATCAAAATTTAATTGAGGATTCACTGCATGAATCCATTTTTGTAATTCCTAGTTTAGCTGTTCATGAGAACTAGGTGAATTTTTGATAAAAAAATTATTATAAATTGAAGCCATAATTGAATTCCTATATGAAATAGCTAGATTTTTTGAAGTCTATTAAAATTTTTGTAGGAAATGATGATTCGTTAGTAAATGACAGTAATATTTTGCAGTTGTTCGAGTTTCGTATGTTACTAAAAGGAATACCTTGACTTTACCATTCAATTTAACTATAAACTGAAATTCCCTTATACAGATGAAAAAATTATTTAGTTCAATGCAGATTTGGCGAAAGGAATTGAGAAACCTGAAATGGCAGTAATGCAAATTTTTAATATTTTTTAGCTTGAACAATTGCTGGTGGTAATATATGCAAACAAAGTATAATTAAAGTTCTTGATGGGAAATGATAAGTAGTGTATTAATTATGAGTTTTTATCCATAACTGAAGGTTTTCTTTGATGTAATGGCAGGCTTCTAGTTAGAGAAAAATCATGGATTTTTGCTTTGAACGCAAAGTTTTATATGTTTTGTAATACAAATGTGCTCTTCATAACTCGTTGTGGATGTAGACGTTCTATGACTAGTTTAATAGAATTGAAGAAACTTTTGGTAAGTGGCAAGCAGCTATTGCGTTGATATGGGAATATTTGAAGTAGTAGATTTATATTCTTGCTAAGGGAAAATTAGTTAGTTGGTATATTTTAAGTTGTAAATTCGATTTGCTTCGTAGATTGTATTCATTTAAATTTTAGATTAATTGAAGCATTTGATCTTAGTGCTAAATTTAAAATTTAATAAGGTGTAAATATGTTGTTTATGACCTTGAAGCAAGGATGATGAAACAAAGTTTAATAAGGAGTTTTTTTACTAGTTATGAAGCTACATTAACTTCTGTTTATATGTATATGTATAAAAGATTTCATTTAATTTAGCTAAAGAAGCTGATTATATTTAATGTAAGCAAAAGAATTGTTCAATAATATTATTGGAACATGTTTGAAAGATTATTATACAGTTGTGAATTAAATAGTTGAATGTTGACAATATATTTAGATGGAGGAAGGGAAAATTTAACTGTTTGCTCGCCCGACGGATGGCTGTGTGGCATTGATTGATAAAATATATATATATTGTGATATTTGCGGGCAAGGTAGATAGTCCAATTTTTAGGGGAGGTGCTGGGAAATTTCTATAGAACTAGACTTGTTTTAAATTAACAATAGATTTAATAAGTTTATTTTAGATTAATTCATAATTAATACATAGTAATAAAGTGCTGCTAATTATTTACATCATCATTATTTATTTAATTATTCAATTACTTAATTATTTTCATTATTATTGTTTAATTATTATTATTATTTATTTTATTAATTGTTGTTTATTGTTTAACACTAATTTACTTATTTTATTTGGCATTCATTTATGGGATGTCTAAATTGTGCATTGCATTACGATGTTTAATTCCGATTTACCCCGCCCCAAAACATTTTTTAAAATGCCCCCTTTTTTGCCGCAAAAAATTTAATTTTTTTTTGGCGGCAAATACTTGAATTATTGTGTTGTGATATTGCTGTGCTTGTTTGTGTGGAATTGGGATTGAAGTGGGTCACCTTGGGTTTGTGAGGACGGTCTGGACCGGTCGCCGGTAAATGGGAGGATCCGGCGCCCGCGTTGTGTACCGCTATTTGTTGCTGATTTGGATTGAATATGGAAACCAACAAGTTGGCTTCTTTATTTTGGGCGCACTGATAATCTAGGTTGATCGCAGGCCCGCCAGGGTGGGCCTCCTGTTGTGAGCGCCTGTATATCTAGATTTGATGGAGACGACCGGGTTGCTCCTGTTGGTATGGAAAAGAAAAGAGAGAATGCGAAAAACAATGAGAAGGGCTGGTCAAGTGAGGATTGACCGGTCGGCCAGTATGGGGGATCGGCTCCCTGGTGCACAGCGTTAGTAGAGGACTGAGCCCATGTGGGAGGAACGGCTTCATCGGGGGTTTCGTGACAGCCCACAGACCAATTTCCCATGTAATGTGATTTATTTGAAAGGTGATATTGTTTGTGAGTGCTGGTGGACATGCCACTTTGTGCGACTGACTGCGTGAGCATACAACTAGTCGGATGACTAGATTTGATATATATATTTATACATTTGTTTGTGAATTGTGGTGTTGTGCAATAATAGTTACTCCTAGAAAGCTCCCATAGTCTTGTCTTAATTTTTTTCAGGAAGTAATTTTCCTCTAAATTCAGGGTAAGCTATATTCCTTCGTCGCAGAGCTAAGAAAGAAAAATTTTCTTAGACGATAATATTTTTGCTATGTATCTAGATGTATAAAAATTACTGTATCATCTATTAGTTAGTGACTCCGCAGTTGTAAGAATTGTATAGCAATTAGTCCGTGTAATTAACATGAGACAATATAATTTAATATGGGCTGAATGTTTTAATATTATACTTGAACTGGTAAATTTTTTAGTTGTTTCAGGCTTACTAGTGCGGGCCTCGGGGCTTAAGCTTACCTGGGCCCTAGTGCCTGGTCCGGCCCATGAAACAGGTCGTGAACAAGGTGGTATCAAGAGCTTAGGTTAGGGTTCTAGGATCAACTGGCGGAGTATAGGAAATTTTGCTTTATGTTGGGATGCCGTAACCAACATACAGGAAGGCCAACTTGTGTTATTTTCCTCTCTAGGGTGGTGGACACACTAAGACCGCTATGAGGTGGGAGAACCACACCTATTGTGTAAAAATCCATAAACTATATGAAGAACTATTGATGGAATTAGAGTGAAAGTAATGGATAGTAATGGGATCTTGAAAACCATCACAAATAACTGGTAGGGGGCTAAGCAATTAATCAAACCTTAAGCTGAGGGAATAGAGTAACACTGATCGTAGTGGAATTGGGCCTGATCACCAGTACACTACTTTCATGTGAGCTCTATTCCTACAGTGAAATAGGATAGTGTAGAGAATAAATAGGTTTTTCATTGATGGCGGATGATGAACTTTGGGTGATTAGGAATCAGTGATTTTAGATTCAGCTCGGCTACTGAATTTTCTTTAGAATTTATTCAAAAGGTAATCTTTTTAATTGTTTTATTTACTTGATATTTTGGGATATTAAAATATAAAACTTCAATTTTTATTTTGAATTCAAATTGTGTTATGATAAATAATTTGAAAATTGTTATTTAATGTAGGAAATTAATTTTTGTTAAAGCTTGTCTAATTTATATCACGGGGCCAATTGGATTTAAGATCAAAAATGAATGATTGCGACGGATAAATAAAATTTTAAGAAGATTTGGAAAAGAAGAAGTAAGACAAGTGGGTGATGAATTGATATTTAAGTAAGTAGACAACTTAGTAGGCTAAGTAAGAACATAAACATTGGAAAGGTTGAGGAACAATTTTAGTTTAGAAAGCTAGACTGCAACCAGAGTTTAGTGTAGGATCTGTTAATGTAATAAATGCGGAGAAATAACAATTAGAATGAAACTGGAATGATTTTAAGGGTATAGAAAATGAATGAATGTAAGAATATACATATTATACATGGGAGTAAGTGCAAAAAATAAAATAAAATAATAAATTATTTTTAGACTTGATAAGGAAAAGATTGGTTGAAGATCCTAAAGTCAAAAATGATTTTAAAGATAGATAAAATAAGTATGGTTGACATATGAGTTGGATTCATATTGCAAATATAATTGAATAAAGGTATACGAAACATGTAGATTAATTGCGACTATTGACACAATTTTAGTATGGTAGCACTGTTTTAGACATAGAGGTGAGTGTGGTATAAACGTGAGGGACTTGATATTGTTTAAATGGAGGGTATAAATTGAAAATTCATATAGAAATAAATAATTATTTAGCTAAAGAAATTTGGTCAAGGAAGTTTGGGTTGTTTTGTGGTCAGTCTAATTGATGAT